CATACGTACATTTTTAAAACACAGAAGCTAATAATATATATTCTTGATAGATACATACATATGAAGTAAAGATACTAAAACAAGATTAAGTCCACTCCACCACCCACGCTTTGCTGCCTTGCAAACATAACTCTTACTTTCCTAATCCACTCACTCTCCCACTTTCTTAGGTGTCTACTTTACATCTTATTCTCTCTTCTCAAATCTCCAGTATTTCCTTGCCCTTCCTCACTCTCAGTGAGAAAACAGAAGCAATAAGAAAAGACTTTCTACAAATAAACTCCGCTACCACTTCTTACCATCCACCAACTCTGTGTCCAGTAACCCAGCCTTCTCCCCTATTTCTAAGGATGAACTGACTGTGCTACCAGCGAAGGATCACACCTCCACTCTGCACTTGATTGATCCCTCTCAAGGACAGTGTTCCATCAAATTTTTCCCTTTCTCACCTGCATCATTATTACATCTACCCTCTCTCCCTTTTCAGTACTGTGGCAACAAGCATACGATATACTGTTATTTCTCCCATCTTAAAACAAACAGAAAAACAAAAACAAAACACCCGCTCTTGGCCCCACTTAACAGAGCCAATACTTTGTGCCATAAGAAAAACTAAAAGGGGTCTGTGAAGCAGACACCGGAGGGCAAAGCCATCTGTTTGCCCTCAGTCCAAAGGCAGGGGATCAAAGGTCTGTTCTGATATTTGGGAAAAAAAACCACAAACAAACGGCTGAAACTAATGTGTTAGTATCGGAATAGTGTGTCATTTGTTTAAGCAGAAGAAAAATGGGGGCAACAGAATAACACTTTGACTGGTTTCTAGATCTCTTATTTTCTAGATCTCTTTACTTTCTTAACATTTCCAAATAAAAGTTTAATTAAACCTAGAGAGGAGTCACTGATTTTGGCAAAAGACTGATAGGACTTATTAATAGAGAACAAGTTCTTTAGGTGCACATGAAGATGGAAATGATCACAGATGTGTGTCACTACAGATCGATCGGGAAGGGAGAGAGAGGGAACTACAAAGCTGCCTTAGACAGCTGGTTTATCTGATTTTCAATACAAACACGCTCTCTGCATACTGAACCTCATCTAGGCATCTTGAGATATGTACATTATAATAGCAGAGACTTGCAAATGACAATTTAATTAAGCATTTATTAGAGAACGATGTAATTTAAAACTTTTCTACAAATAAGAAAATAAAGGGAGAGTAATTCAATTGTATATTTTAATTTTCCTCATAGATGAAGAAACTAAGATTCAGAGGGGTTAAGTGACTAAGTGACTTGCCTAGTTTCACACAACCAGGAAGTAGAGATGGACAAGTAATTAAAAAATATCTAACTTCAAAACGTCTCTTAAATATTAAAAAAAAATTAATCAGTAACATTATCTGAATTGAGCAAAGGTTGACATTTTGTATTTATGGAAAAAGAAAAGTCACAAATCCATAAACCTTTTCCTTTTAACTATAGCTACCAGTGCAGTGGGATATACTTAACATAGCTACCTCTGTTTTTCAAGGTGTCAAATCTATTCTTGAGATGGTCTCTAAATCCAGGCAAGATGTATTCAAGGTCACACTTTGTATCTTGTGGAATTGCTCTGATTTTCATCTGCTTCAACTTGGACTTGCACATGAGCAATTGATGGTCTGTTCCACAGTCAGCCCTTGGCTTTTTCTTCACTGATGGTGATACTGAGCTTCTCCATTGTCTCTTTCCACAGATGTAGTTGATTTGATTACTGTGTAGTTCACCTGGTGAAGTCCACGTGTATAGTTACTATGTTGTTGAAAAAAAGTATTTCCGATGAATACATCATTGATCTTGAAGAATTCTATCAACTGAGATGCTTCAACGAATGTAAACACTGGAAGCGCTTATTTGTCTATATCAAGAAATTTGGAAGACAGCTCCCGGGCTAACCGAATGGAAGAGATCCATATTTGTGCCCATTCCAAAAAAAGGATATCATACAGAATGCGGATGTTATCGAACAATAATTATTAATATCACATGCTACCAAAATTCTGAACATAATTCAAAAATGATTGCAGGTGTACATCAACTAGGAACTGACAGAAGTTAAAGCTGGATTCAGAAGAGGACATGGAATGAGGGATATCGATGCTGTTGTCAGATGGATCTTGGCTGAAAGCAAAGAATATCAGAAAGATGTTTACCTGCGTTTTATAAACTACGTGAAGACATTTGACTGTGTGGATCATAACAAAGTATGGATAACATTGTGAAGAATGGGAGTTTTATAACACTTAATGCTGCTCATGCAGAAACCTATTACATGGATCAAGAGGCAGTCATTTAAACAGAACAAGGGGATTCTGCCTGGTTCAGAATTGGAAAAGGCGTGTGGCAGGGTTGTATCCTTTCATATTACCTATTCAATCTCTATGCTGAGTAAACAATCTGAGAAGGTGAACCGTATGAAGAACGTGGCATCAGGACTGGAGGAAGACTCATTAACAACCTGCAATACGCAGATGACACAATCTTGCTTGCCAAAAATGAAGACGACTTGAAGCGCTTACTGATGAAGATCAAAGACTATGGATTACTCCTGAATGTGAAGAAAACAAAAATTGTCATGCTGGACCAACACACAATATTATGATAAATGGAGTGGAAATTGAAGTTGTCAACGATTTCATTCTACTTGGATCAATAATCAATGTCTGTGGAAGCAGCAGTCAAGAAATCAAATGACATACTGCACTGGGCAAATCTGCTGCAAAAGATCTCTTTAAAGTTTTAGAGACTAGGCATGCTTAAATGGTCATAGGAAGAGTCCAAGCAGAAGAAGAGGTTGAAGAGGAGAGAGGGAAGTTAGAGACACATATTTAAGCTGGAAACTAGAGAAAGTAGAAAAGGGATGGTGAACAAAAGAAACCTGTTCCAAGAAAAATGACATTCTGGTATAAGTGAGCTGGGCTGGCATGTGAAAACAAAAAGGAATGCTAGCTAGTCAAAATAGAAATGGTCTGATGGAAATATATTTTTTATTTTGTTAAAATTTTTTACTGACGCATTAACATATATACAGAAAAGTACATGTACCATAATTGTGCAGCTCAACAAATTTCAGTTTTTTAAAATTGTTTTATTGTGGTAAAATATATATATCGCAAAACATTTGCCAATTCAACAATTTTTACATGTACAATTCAGTGACCTTGATTATGTTCATCATGTTTTGCAACTCTTACCACTATCTGTTTTCAAAGTATCCCACTATCATTAATAGAAGCCTGGTGCCCACTAAGCAAAGAGATCCTTCCCCCTCCTCCCTCCCACTCTTGGTAACAAGTAATAAACTCTGGTCTCTATACATCTGCCTATTTCATATAACTGGCATCATACAATATTTGTCCTTTTGTGACTAACTTATCTCACTTAGCATAACGTTATCAAGATTCATCCGTGTTGTAGCATGTATCTGGACATCATTTCTCTTTATTGCTGAGTAATATTCCACTATGTGTGTGTGTTTGTATACATACACACCACATTTTGTTTAATATGAGAATATCTGTAAGGTAGAAAAGGTACAGGTAGGGAAGCTTGCTCAACAGATATTGTCCAGTACCTAGCATAATAACCCATTGTTGTCGAGTCAATTTCGACTCACAGCGACTCTGTAGGACAGAGTAAAACTGCCCCATAGTGTTTCCAAGACTGTAAATCTTTACAGAAGCAGACTGCCGTGTCTTTCTTCTGTGGAGTGGTTGGTGGGTTCGAGCTGCCGACCTTTTGGTTAACAGCTGAGCGCTTAACCACTGCACCACCAGGGCTCCTACCTAGCATAATAATTAAAAAAAACCTCAACCGAACATATTGCCCTCGAGTCGATTCCAACACATAGTGACCGTATAGGACAGATTAGAACTGTTCAATAGGGTTTCCAAGGAGCGGCTAGTAGATTCTAAATGTCAACCTTTTGGTCAGCAGCCGAGCTCTTAACCACTGCACCACCAGGGCTCCTAGCATAATAGAGGTGGTTAATAAATACTTCTTGAATAAACAAATTGAATGAATAGAGGTATGATAAAATTTGGAATCTTTAGTTTTTATAATTTCAGTACTTACTCAACTCACATGATTGCTTTGGCAATATTCCAAAAAGCAAACAATCATAAATAGACACACCTAATTTGGAATCCAAGATGATGTGTTTTGTAACAACAAAGTCCTTTACTACAAAAATTTTACTGTGATTGTTTAATCTATACCAACGTATTTCCCGAACAGAAAGAATTGGCATTCAAATTTACTCATTTATTTTGAAGAACTAGTAGTATAAAAATAAAAATTTTTATTACAACTGATTCATAAATAGTATTTAATTATAACTAACAGATGTTCAATTCTAAATGTTATTAAATGCGTTTGCATTATTTTTAAAAATCTGATCAATATGGAAAATGCAAAGGCCTCTATATTTAAAATGTGCACACTAGCTAACAAATTTTAGCTCATTTGAAGCAGAAGGTAGCAAGATTATTAAAGAGTTGGGTCTAACAGATCCTTGTCATTCTTGTCAAGTGAACTCACCGTGACATGTCCTACTTGGTAATTATAATATGCACTGTATGTGCTTGGTTTTGTGATTCTATTGGCCATCATCCCAGCCATAATTCACCCAAAGGGTCCAAAGGGTAATTTAAATTTTTCAGTTAAACTTTATGTATTTTATGGGGAAAGTTAAATGTAGAGTTATTTTTCTAAACTGAGGAATTCTGACATATATATGAAAGGTTTACTGCAATTCTAACAAGCTGGTTCATTGGTAACTTTAAAGTAAAAAAAAAAAAAATTACAGTCATCCGTTCTGAAATGCTTCTTTGAGCAAACCTGTGCAGAAATCCTTCTTCCATACAGTACTATTCCATTATAGTTAAATTTTCATCACTGTTTACATGCTGTTATTAATAACTTCAAGTTATTACTAGCTTCAAATGAAAATGTCATACTCACTTCATCAGCCACAAACTCCTTACTCAGACCAAAATCTGTCAGCACCACATGGCCATTGGAATCAAGCAGAATATTCTCAAGCTTAATGTCACGGTATATAATCCCCAACTGTAAAAACAAACAAATATGCATTTTAAAATAACAATTTCCAAAAAATAAATTAGGACAGCCTTTCTTATGTACCTTAAAAAAAGAAAGCATTCTCTTGTTCAGGATCCTAGGAAGTCTCTTAGTCACTGGCCAGGGCAAATGTAAATCCCTCAGTCTTGGCGCTCATCTGCTGGGTTCCCTTGACCTTTCCAACTATGTCCCATTCTCTATGTAATGAGGGTCCACTCCTGTCTGACCAGCTCCTTTAGGGCGTCCCACCGGACTACTACTGCTTCCTGTCTCTTTCTCTGAATATAGTTCACCTTCACTCCAGATGATCTTCAGGTGCTTCTTAGCCAATCCATGCCCATCACTTCCTGATGGCTTTAGAGGGCTTTCCTGACTAACCAGATCCCATGCTGGTCATTTTCTTGTTTCTCATCCTACAGCACCTCTATTTTCATTGTCCATACCACACCAGACCCATTGCCGCAGAGTTGATTCTGACTCATAGTGACCGTATAGGACAGAGTAGAACTGTCCTGTAGTGTTTCCAAGGCTGTAATCTTTACAGAAGCAGACTCACATCTTTCTTCTGTGTAGTGGCTGGTGGGTTTGAACTGTCAACCTTTCGGTTAGCAGTCAAATGCTTAACCACTGTACCACCATTGTACTTACCTATAAATGACTGATGTGTTCTAGGTATTTCCTGTTTGCCTTGATGTAACCAGACCCTAACTCTGCTTTTCACTATGACTTGTTTTTAATTACGTCAGCCTGAAATAAATGTTTTTAAACTCAGAGACATTGCTTTCCTTAACATTAAGCATATGAAAAAGCAGTTTCTTGATAATCTGTTAAAACTGAAATAAAAATTACACGGAAAAAAACTAAGCATTTTTCCTTCAAGTATTTCAGAGTTTTACAAGAAAAATTGGAAGGAAAATGTCTAGTCTATATTGAAGAGACAACTGACTTGGAACATCAGATGCATCTAGGAACCAGTGGGTTTTTTTTTTTTTTAACAACCTCTTTGGAAAAGATTTTAAGAACAAATCAGTTACTATCTACTTCCAACTAAACTCCCATTTTTGTCTCTTCCTGTGAAATCCAGTGTTAGTAACTGTATCAAGGTTGGTATTGCTGGCTTTGTGTCATACTTATCTGTATTTATCATTTTAGAGTAGTAAGATTAGGAGAAACTTAGCTGAGATCTGATTTGCTGTATTACTTATACTCTGTAGGAGCCCTGGTGGTGCAGTAGTTAAGCAGCCGGCTGTTAACCAAAAGGTCAGTGGCTCGAACCCACCAGCTGCTCCTCGGAAGAAAGATGTGGCAGTCTGCTCCCATAAAGATTTATAGCCTTGGAAACCCCACAGAGCAGTTCTACTATGTCTTATAGGTTTGCTGTGAGTTGAAATCAACTCGATGGCAATGGGGTTATTTACTGTTTTCTGCTTCTGTATTTCTAATTATCTTGTTTTAGTAATAATGAATGTTCATGGATTTTCCTTTAATAAACAGAGTTAAAGCTTTCACACAAATTAAAAACTGCATTAGCTAGCTTACTCCTTGGGGCTTTGAATTTTGTTTGTTTTTACTCTGGTTATCTGCAGTGATCTCACTATCATTTTTATATTATAAAAAATTACATCAAATTACTTCTTAGAATAAAACTCAATGGTCCTTTCAGCCTGTTACTGGCTCTAATTTGATTCATGTATAAAGAAATTTACACTCCACAAAAATAATCATAGGTGCTCTATGAAAGTTTGTCACCATGTCAAAAACGCTATTATGCTCAGAACAGACATCTGTTGCTCACTTTCAGCTCAGCTCCCTGCTTGATTCTTCTTACTTTCCTTTTCTCTCCAATGCACTGCAGCCCTCCACCCCAACTCCAACTCTTCTCTTTCCTTCCTGTTCTTATACCTTTTTTCATTCACTCTACTCTAATCCCCATCTCCCTCTACCTGCCCAGTCTTCCTTCTGTTCCAGGCTAGAGGTACCCTTTTCTTGATCTCCACCCGTCTTTTCATAAATCTCATCACCATTTTGCACAGTCACTCCCATCCACTGCCTCCATCTTGCTCTTCTAATCGCCCTCCCCTTTCAAAACTTCATCCTTCTTTCTTGCCTTTTCCCTCCATTTCTCTCCTTTCTTTTTTATGCTCCATAATCAGCACCTTAATCTCTTTTCACCTGTGATCTAGTGGTAGGACCTGAATACAACATGATGTAGAACAGTGGCTTCTGTATGTACATGTATTGTCCTAATTCAGTGATTCAAGTCAGGCTGTCTCCTTCCTGCCTCACATACTTTTGGCACAAGCCCAGGCTACACTATGACTACTGGCTTCCACAATAATGACTGCTCTTTAAATAAAAAAATTTGTAAAGTAAAACTTCTCGGATCAAGATTAATGGTATCTGCAGTAATATAAAAAACATTTAAGATGGTTTTATAGAGTCCAAAATAGTGTTATGAACATGTATCCCATTTAAAATTTTTAGTAGCTGGTTCACGATACATGGGAGCAATGGAGGAGAAGGGAGGGAGAAGGGGCAGGAGAGGGAAAAGAAGTCCCAATGGGAGAGTGGGACAGTTGGGTACAATAGGTAGGTGCCTCTTTCAAGTTACTCATAGCCCCCAACCTAATCGGGAAAATGTACCCTGGAGATGTACAGGCAGAGTCTGCAGTGGAGTAAGCCACAATATAGAAATATGAATGAGGACTTGTGATTTCATTTTAAAGGCTATTTAAGAATTAAGCTTTTGTCCTATTGTTATTTTGTAATACCTAAGCATTAAGGATTTTTCATGAACTATTTAGAAAACCAAAATCTTGCTCAGATTCATCCTTTTTAATCTGAAGCACAGGAACTACAATAGGAAATTAGATTTAAAACAAAGGGAAATAAAAAATTCAGAAAATTGGTAACATTCTGTAAGACACTGACATGTAAAAACATCAGCTCTTTTTATCTCTGTCATTACTTTAGTTCATAGTTTTTTTACAAAAGAAACCCCAAAGATGAAGCATCTTACCTTGTGGAGATGTTCGAGGGCAAGCACAATCTCTCCAACATAGATCTGCACCTCGTGCTCTGTGAAACGCTCTCTTTGAGAAAGATGAGTAAAAAGTTCTCCACCATTTATATAATCTAAAAATGAAATATATTTTTTCTTTCTTTGACATATTCATAAACTAAGGGGAGTATTTCCTTTTAATCACTTTAGATTAAGCCTAAGGCAATGATTTTAATATATTGTTTTTTTGGGTACAACTCTTAGTCTGTAGAATACAGTTCCATAAAAATTTATTACTAGATTCATCAGTAATACAGTTTCATGAGGTAAGGATTACCCTAAACTACAATGAAATGAATCTGTACAACAGATATTGCCATTAAAACTATTAGATAACATCTGTATAAGTTTAAATATAGCATATCGGCATATAGCATATCAGAAACCTCTGCCATCACTGTATAATAAATATGCAGTACCAAAACATCAGCCATTACAATAACCACCCCTCCCCCCCAAAAAAAACCACAAACAAAGAATCCAGCCTTTCCTTTGTGATAGTTGCAAGTCACTATTTTGAAGAACTTTGAGCAGTTTTTCTGTTTTCCAGAAATGTCTATGCACACTACCAAAAATGTGTATTAGGCAGTAGGTAGCCTTCTTATTGCTCCATATACAGCTCAAAGGTAACAGTGGCCCAAAGAGCCAGATTCAAAGCGCCTGAAACCAGATGGTTCCTATTTCCCTTTCAATTTGCCCTATTCATCCCAAGGGGATTAATGAAATAGGAGACAAAAAGACTAGAGTAAGAAATAAATAAAGGACCTGGATAATATAAATAAACAAAGAACACAACTAAGTTGATAAATGGTTTTAATAAAACATTTATTGATAAATGAATAAATGAATGCTCAGTATTTTAGGCAACAAGCTATACAGATTAATACTAGAAATTGTTCAAAAGCACACAGGATGATAAACTCTTTGCCAAATAAATACTACTAAAAAAACTAAAAAATCTTCATCAGAAACTAATCCTTGCTACATTAACACACAAAAACCTTTTTGTGTGTGAGAAATAATTTACTTTTAGAAAGTAGTCACAAATGTCGATTAAAGCTTTTCTCCTGACAAATTTGAAAAGCATGTATCCCAAGTTTATTCCCTTGTCAAGTCTACCACAAAAACACAAAGCAAAATCTTCATAAACTCACGAATTTTACTTTTATCTTGCCTATATAATTTTAAATTCCAAAAAGCATACGCAACAGAATGAAATAGTGCAAACAGCTGGTTGTTTTACAATGTATTTTATTTACAAGGATGTGCCAGCAAAAAGCATTTCCCTTCTCAAGCTGCATTTTGCCAACGGGTTTTAATTATATCTGAATACAAAGCTAATTATTAAAAAAGGTGTAAAGGAACACAGCATTCCTGAAAACTAACAATGAATTATTTATCTACTTTTTAAGTAGTTATTTACTTAAACCTAATACTGGTGTTATGCATAAATGGCAGGCATAGTCAGTCACAATACAGAAATAGACACCCACTGATCAATTGGTAAACTCCTACACATCCTTGAATGTCCAATTCCATGCTCTTCTCCTCTATGACCACTGCAGAAGAACTGACCACTTCCTCTTATGTTACTGTTGCACTCACGAAAGACTTCTACCACTGCAATTATTTTGCTGTAATGCAAATGTTTTACTTCCTTACTTGCTTTCTCTGCTAAACTCAGGTTTCTGACGTCAGATTCAACGTATTCATCTCTGCATATCTAACATAGTGCCTGCATACAGTGGGCACTCAATAGATGCTTATTAAATCAATTAAGTAAATCTCATGTGAACAGAAATTCTTTATATTGGAATAAATACTAAATACGGTCTCTGAAAAGTCACTCTCAAACTTAACAGGCAAGTCCCTTGTAAAAAAATCCAGTGTACTTGTGTCTCTGAGGCAACATGATATAGTCAAAAGAACCTGGGGTTCTTAACCAATAGTCCTGGACTAGACACTGGCTTCATTGTTATCCTGCCTTAGCAAATTAAGTCTCTCTGAACTTTGGTTCTTTATAAAATGGGAGAAATAACTATTTATGAACTGTTGTTGCCCGGAACATAGGAAGAATTTATTTTCTATTTCCTGGAGAGATTAAGAGAAAGCAACTGCAAATCTAAGGAGACAAATCTAATACAACATCAAGTAACATACTTCCTACTTCTGGAATAGATTGACCTGACAGTCCAAGATGAGATGATTTGATAGTCATAAAATACATGTTTTACTTGTAGGTACATGACTGCATATTTAACAAGGTGAACAACCAACTCTACCCAATATTCCTGGTTATACAAGCGGTAAAGCAGATACCAAGGCTGCCAAAGAACTTTAACTACAGAAACTATGGTACCTAGAGTGTGATTATTGGGAAAGTATTATAAACAATGGCAGGGATCTGAGAAGCCAGTGGGACTCTCCTATATGGTAAGCATTTGGTACTCTCAGTCTTTATAATTTTAGCTATTCTGATGGGTGCGTAATGGCATCTCATTATGGTTTTAATTTGTATTTTCTTGATTACTAATAATATTGAGCCTATTTTCATGGGCATACAAGACATTTCTACATATTCTTTTAGAAGTATCTACTAAAAGGTTTTTTTGCTCATTTTATTTTTTGAGCTATCATTCACATACCATGCGATTCACCCATTTCAAGTGTACAATTCAAGGTTTTTAGTATATTCACAGAGTTATGCAACCATCATCACAATCAATTTTAGAATATTTTCATCATCTCAAATAGAAATCCCAATTTATCTATTTTTTTCTTTTGTTGCTTGTGCTTTTGGTGTCATATTTAAGAAACCACTGCCAGATTCAAGCTCATAAAGATTTACTCCTGTGTTTTTTTCTAAGAGTTTTATAGTATTCACCCTTATATTCAGGTTTTTGACCCATTTTGCGTTGTTTTTAATACATGGTATGAGGTAGGGGTCCAACCTCATTCTTTTGCATGTGGACACCAATTTGTTCCAGCCCCATTTGTTGAAAAGACTGAATTTTCCCCCACTGAATGGTCTTGGAACTCTTTTTGAAAATCAACTGACCATAGATAAATGAGTTTATTTCTGGACTCCAAATTCTACCCCATCGATATGTATGTCTCACATCATACTATCGTGATTACTGTAGCTTTATAGTAAGTTTGAAATTAGATAGTTAAATTCTCTACATTTGTTCTTCATTTTTAAGAGCCGATGGGCTATTCCAGGTCCTTTGATTTGCATATGAATTTTACAGCCCAAAAGGGAAGAGAATGAGAGAAAGGGGAAGGAAAAGAGGACTAGGAATAGATAAAGAGTTACAATATTGTTTTTAAATTTCTCATGAGCACTACGGTAGAGTCCTGTGGTAAAGCTGGTAAGCAGGTGATGATTCCTCTTGTGTTTCTAAGCTTATCATGCTAGTTAGTCCTTGAAAAATTCAACAAAACCAGTTATTTTCTACTTACACATTTTTATGGCTACCCAGTTCTTCCTCCTTTGTTTCACTGAATGTGAAACAGTTTGTAGGTTCTATCTCTTCTGAGGGACTTTTCATCATTTGGAATTCAGTTTATTTGGCGCCTTGTGACCTCAGCTCTCCAATAAATTTAAAAAATAAGATTTTGTAGATTATCCACCTTTTTCTCATTGTTAAAGGAGAGAGCAATGATGTCTTATGGCTGCTCCCTCCTAAGCAAAAGTGGAACTCCATTTAAAGATTATTTTCCATTTATCCACATATTTACCATTTCCACTGCTCTTTTTTTCCCCCAAATGACATTATTTCCCTTCAGCCTGAATAATTTCTTTACATTTCTTGTAGTACCTAGCTGTCAATAAATTCTTTCAGCTTTAGTTTATCTGAAAATGTTTATTTCACTCTCAGTTTTGAAAGATATTTCTGATCATTACAGAACTGCAGGCTGAGTTTTTTGTGGTGGTTGTTGTTTGTTTTTCTTTCAGAATTTTAAAAATATGATTCGGATGTAATCTGCCCTTCATTGTTTTTTAATTAGAAGTCATACCTTCATTTGTATCCCAGTTCTCCTTATAGAATGTTTTTCTCTGGCTGCTTTTAAGATCTTCCTCTTTTATCATTAGTTTTCAGCAGTTTGACTATAATGTACCTAGGTGTGGGTTTCTTTCTATTTATCCTGCTTGGAGTTCACTGAGCTTCTTAGTTCTCTGGGTTGATTTTTTGAATAAATTTTTTAAAATTTCTGGCTAATATTTCTTCAAAAACATTTTGCCCCATTCTCTTTTTCCTCTTCTTCTGGGATTTCACTTACATCCATGTTTAGGAGTTTGATACCGTCCCATAGATCTTTGAGGCTCTGTTAATTTGTCCTATTTTTTATTTTCTTTCTGTGCTTCAGCCTGTATGATTTCCACTGACCTGTCTTCAAATTCCCTGTTTCTTTCTTCTGCAGTGTCCAACCTGATAATAATACCACCCAATTAATTTTTTATTTCAGGTATGATGTTTTTTGGTTCTATGATTTCTCTTTGATTCTTTCTAAAGTTTCCATACTGCAACTATAATTTTCTATATATTTACCTATATCCATCACTTTGTGTAGACTGTTTAACATATTTATAATAGTTATTTCTAAATCCTTATCTGCTTAAGTCCAACATCTAGATAATCTATGGGTTTGCTTTTTATTAACTGCTATTTTCCTTGTGATTATTTCCTGATTCTTTGCATGTCTAATAATTTTTTTACTGTATTCTGGACACTGTCAATGATACATTCTGTTATCTTCCTCTTGAATACTGACTTTCGTTCTTGCAGAAAGTTACATTTCTGGTAGCTCACCTTGATTCCGTGAAGGCTCGCTTTTAGGTTTTGTTAGGGTGGCTCTCTTTCAGTTTTACTTTAGGGTATTTCCTTGATCTTAGGAGGCAGTCCTTAGTCTAGGGTGTGGTTCTTATTGCTAAGGTGCAGCCCTTCTAGGATTATCATGGAAAATGCAAGACATTTACCAAGCTCCTCTACTTTGGAAGTAACTTAACTCCAAACTCTTGTCTTCTCTGAGGGAGGGAACTGCTGAAATTTTTACTCAGCTATTTCAGCTT